GCGTCAGGTCGGCAAGCGTCAGGGCAGAGGTTGGGGTGCGGAGGGTGTTGCGGAGAGGATTCTCCATCTCGCTAGCCTCAGTTCTCCCGGAGCCGCAACGGTTTTCGATTTCTGCGCCGCCGCCCCGGCCCAGCCTCCCTCCGGGGGCTGGCCGGGCAAAGGCTGGGAGAGGCCAGGTCGCCCCCACCCAGAGGCGGGGGTTGCGGGGGACTGGGAGGGGACTGGCCGGGTTCACCCGCCCGTCCGGCGCCTGGATCCCCGGCTCCGGGGGGATGCAGTTTCGGGGTCACGAGCTGCTTTCAAAAAGTTGAACACAATATTCGGAAACCCACCCGTAGGAATTCTCCCCCCACACGCGGCACAATACCCACTCCCCTCCCCTTTTTCATTCCTTCCTCCCCCGCTTCCTCCTCCTGCCCCTTCCCCCTCCCACCCTACAGTCTGTAATCCTTCCCCTACGAGAGAAAGGGATCGGGTAGAAAAGATGAAGTGTCGGTTTTTGTGTCCCAACCTTTGGGTTCTTTCTGGGCCCTGCAGTGAACGGCCGCCCAGAGCTTCTCAGCTAAGCAGAAAAGGACCCAGGGCCCGGAGGGAGACATTTGGGGGCGGGGGGAGAGCCCTAAATGCTGCGACTTGGAGGAGCTTCCCTTTGGGGGTATTGTTTCTGTGCCCCAGTCAGCGGGATTAGGACTCGCTACCTGCAGCTAACACGGGCTGAGTAAACCATCATCGGCCCCTCGCCCAACCCAGAGCTTTCTGGCAGCCCTAGAACCTCCTAAACTGCTTTCACTTCATCTTCATCTTCCAGGCCTGGCACGATGGGAGTCAAGCCTAAGCAGGGCCTGAGCAGGGCCTGAGCTCAGGGTTTAGGGGCTGGGACACTGGCAGCCCCAATCACATTAGATTTTTCCATTTAAATTCTCTCTCAATCTCTTTTTCTCTCTTCCCTCATTGAGATCTCCAAAGTGGAGTGGACTCAGTGCCTCACCCCCAGATCTGCATCGGAATGCAGAAAAGATCTTTAAAAAAAAAAAGTTTTGAATTCCTCAATGATTTTTCTTCTGGAAAGGCAGCTTAGGATAATTATTTCAGCTTTATTGAGGGCAGATTAGTTGAAGTCTGGGCGCTGCGTTTCAATACGCGTTGTACACGGGCCGACAATGTGGGCATTGTTGGCTACTGTGTGTGAATCCATTCAACATATACACTTTTTAACACCAAACCGAGTCCTGTCTAAATATACACAGTGCGCGGGCAAAGACGTCTCTGACCCCGACAAATCTGCGTAAATCACACTTCCATAGTTACAGAAACCTCACAAAGGGAAGTCCCGCTCAAGATGCTGATTATATCTTCTTAAAAGCAACACACCTAAGCAAAAATACCCATGCCCGGCCTGGGGACTGTGTTGACCAGAGAAAGGGAGGGCCCTGTGCATTCTATGGGCCTTTTGAGGTCTGTTACTTTCTACAGAGAAATTAAGACAGTTTTATTATTATTTACAATATAAGCAAACAAGCAATTTTCAGATCATATCTCCTTCCTGTGGTGGCCTCCAAAGTTTGAGTTTCAAGAAGGCCTGGGGCTGGTGGGCAGGTTCAGGGCTCCTTTAGTGAGTGTGTATGTGCATGGGGGGTGGGGGGGTGAGAAATGAGCATTGGCCTCCGGTCCAAGGAGCTCCCAGGCTTCTGGGCTCCCGAAGCTCCTCCCTATCTCCTCAGGGAGGCAGCTGAATTCTAGGGGCGAACAAAGAATCCGGTTGCTTTTTTAAATGGTGAGAAGTGTAGTGTTGTTTAGACTGTTATTTTAAAATACAGAGTAATGGGGGACATCAGAGCTTCTTGGCCTGGAGTAAAGAGAAGCCCAGCAGATACAGACAGAGCTGGAGTGACTGTAGATGAGGGCACCGACCTCCAGCACCCTGGGTACTGGGCTCAGGCTCCCTGGCGCCAGATGCCCCCCAGAATCCTGGATCCCTGGCAGGCACTGAGGCCTGCAAGGCCAGGGTCAGAGCTCGGTGGGCCCCATGATCTCATCTCTCCTTTCTTCCTCGCCACTATTAGTGCTCACATAGGCAGAAAGAGGCAGCCCGACGTGCACACCATGTGCAAACCGTGCCTGCACGGCCGGCCCAGGACCTCTCCTTGCAGCGGGCTGGACTGCCAGCCTTCCTGAGGGGTGGGGAGCCTGTTGCCTCCCACCAAAATACCTCGTCCCAATTGCTCATCCCTTTCAACTACTCTGTGCCCATGGCATTTCGAATTTCTATATCAACTTCTTTGGAGAAAAGGGAAGAAAAAGGCTTAGGGATAGCGAGGGAAAAGAGGAGACAGAAAAGAGGCCACAGAAGAGGGGGAAGTGGCGAGATTAAGAGTTGCAAAGATTTTTTTTAAAAATTCTCTTTCTCCCCCTTCTCCCTCCTTCCCCCCCCCTCTGGCTAAGTGGTAAAACCGTCCTTACGTTCTCGGTATTGATTGGCAGGGCTGACAGTGATTGGCAGTGGTTGCTGTGGCAACGCCACAACGACACGCCGCAGACCAATAGAAAAGCGAAACAAAATGTTTCAATGCTGCACTCACTGTGGATTTAGGGGAGATATTATGAGGCTGTTGTCATTAGGGCGATTGCTGTGGAATCGCTGAATCTTGACTCGGCGGTGGTTGGCTCTCGCTCTCCTCTCTCTCTCTCCCTCTCTGTCTCGGGTTCTCTCTCTGCGCGCGCGCACCGGGCCGCTCTCCTTCCTCCCTCTCTATGTGGCTGCGCGGGTGTGTGTGTGTGTGGATGTGTGTGGGGTGTGGGTGTCCCTTACGCCCTTCCTCCTCCCCCTCCTCCTCCTTCTGCTCCCCCCTCCTTCCCCTCTCCTCCTCCCCCCTCTCCTCTCCCTCCTCCTGGTCCTCATCGCCCCTCTCCTCCTCTTCCTCCCCTCTCTCTTCCTCTCCCTGAATTTTCTCCTCTCCTCTCAGGTCAGTCCATGGTATTCCGCTCCCCCCTAGACCTCTATTCCTCCCACTTCTTGTTGCCAAACTTCGCCGATTCTCACCACCGCTCCCTACTTCTGGCGAGTA